TCTCTCTCTCTCTCTCACTCTCTCTCTCTCTCCCTCTCTCTCTCTTCCTCTCTCCCCCGCTCTCTTTCTCTCTCTCTCTCTCCACTCCTCTCCACCCCTCTCCCTAAAAATCCCCCAAAATCTCATGCACAAAAAACAACTATATTAACGTGGTCTCCTCTAAAAACAAAGAGCATTACAATGAAGAAACGTCTAATATGTTTTCTAATAGACTTAGCACAAAAACCCCCCAAGAAAAAACATAACTGAACTCGCAGAAATGTTGGTCAATACCTAAATGCGTCAACAACAGGGCAACACGTCGTGCTGAGCTCGCCAAACAGCCTTGATGGCATTTCCTTGAAATGTCAACACACCACCACCCTCCAAGAAGAATAGAAGAAAATAGGACAGAAATCAGAGCGAAACACACAATTAATGCACAGGTGTAGACGATACTACTTGAGCCTTTCATTCGGGACTTATTTGACCTCCTACACACATCACATCAGTCATCCGGGGTCCAGTATGATGCCCACTGAGTCCTAGATCGAATGGATATCATTAACCCGCTGTCACCAAGGGCATCGACGCCTGCTTTAATAATGTCATAACATCGATATCTCTATCAAATATTTACTGGATCTCTATTATAAATATAACGACCCATTAGGCTTTAGTTTTAGTAAACGTTATCCGGTATTTGCAACACAATAAGGTCATGTAAGTGCCGATGATAAGAGGTGTTACAACAGAGTAGTAAACGCAAAAAAGGAGGAAAATCAGTACAAAATGTATTTGATCGGAAAGAAGGAGCAAACCACATCAGAGCATCCGCTACCCATCCACTTCGTTTGAGTATTTCGAACTATGGCTATCTATATCTCAGCCCTGTGTGATACCCATTTTTGTGGTCAGCCCTGTTTGATACGAATACCTATGATTAAGCCAAACATACACATAGAGTCTGAGTTCGAATTCATTCCACTAACATCTGGGCGATAGGATCTTGTTTCGATAAAGACACAACATCGAGTTCTCTGTAAAAGTTTTACTTACAGGGTCTCTTTTATAACAAGCCATTGGGTCTTCCAACCAGTGATACCCGAACCTTAGCCCAGAATGACACCCACTGTACAAATCGACATCTGGGGAACTGACACTTGCTTCGATAATGTCACAAAAATCGCGATCTCCATCAAAGATTTCAACGAATGCTGTTATAACGACCCAACGGGTATTCGAACCAGAGCCACCCGTACCTTAGCCCAGTATGATACCTATTTAGCCGACCAACCCCAACGGGGTCCGAGTTCGAATTCGTTCAGCCAACAACTGCTGTGGAATTGGCGCTTAATGCGATAAAGACACAACATCACGATCTCTATAGATAAAAGATTTGCTGGATCTCTTATATAACGACCTATCGGGTATTCGAACCACGGCTAACTGTAACTTAGCCAAGAATGACACCCACTGTGCCAAACGCACGTCCAGGGTCCCTGTTCGAAGTGAGATCATTAACCCATTTCGTCCATCATCATCTGGGGAATTGTCGCGTGTTTTCATAATGTCAACCGATCGCGACCTCTATTAAAGATTTACTGCAGCTCGTTTGCCATCGTTTCCATAATGCCACAACATTGTGATCTCAATCAAAGGTTTATGTCCAAGCCTATCCGAACTTTATTGCAGTGCTGTCGATAATGTCAAAACATCGTGATCTCAATTAAAGATTTATATAAATCTACATGCACTTGAACGTTTTTATTGTTCTGTCCATAATGTCGAAACATTATGACCTCAATCAAGATTCATACACAGTCGAACGTATTTTGTTGCGTGTTCATAATGTCACCTCACCACGATCTTTGTAGGGGATTTGCTTGACCGCTTTTTTTGGGAGTCCATTTGATAATGTCAAAACATTGTAACCCTAAGTACAGATTTACTTGAGGGTTATTTTTTGTTGCTTTTCATAATTTAGCTTATTATACCTCAGCGTTTGGAAGTCTATGTAAGTCTTTGCTGCTACTTTTTTGTTTTTCTCTTTTGATAATGGCAAACACTGCAATCTAGGAGAAGAAAAAAATCCTGCAAATTTCTCTCTATGAATATTCTTTCTTTTTTTTTTTCTGAATGTCCAAATATCTCTGCGCCCCAGGGGAAGGCTGGTGATGTTCCCCTTGACATTTCTAAAGTTAACAACAACAATACGTCATTTATTCATTTTCTATGGCATAACGGTTCGTGAATGTGACGCAAATACACTCCAGTTTGCTATTCACTTTACGATATTTGCTGACGACTGCTGCCTTTTGCCTGCGGTCAGCTCTTGTGAGCAGCGTTTGGGGAAAATGGGAAAAATAGAGCTGGATGAGGTGAGGGTTTTTTGTGGTTTTTTCTGTTAGGAGAAAAAAAAAGGGGGGG